TGCCTTCACTAAGTCAGGCAAACACGTTTCTTGGAAGGTCAGTGTAACCTGTAGGAAATTCCTTCTGTCTCTGAGCTGGCTCATTCATCACTAGTCATAACCATTCTGGAATGTGAACTCATAGTCTGTTATCTGGCTACCGCTAGTGATGATGCCTGGAGACGACAGCTTGGTTTTCAAAAGCTGGGTTGACCCTGAGGGGCGAGGAAAACTTGTTTTGACAGAGCAAACATGACATGGAAGCAGTGCAAGTGCCAATATGTGCAGGAACAAGGTGTTATTTTCTCAAGGTGGATTTTTTTTTTCCCCCAACCTGGGAAAAGCACACTAATATATGGGGAACAATATAGTCTGTGGGTTTTTTCCTTCCCCACAAATGCAGTTAAAGCAGAAAGGCTCTCTTGTCTGTATTTTGACTGGGAGAAAAAGGATGAAACAGGTTCATCTGTTAACAGAGCATGGAATCATAGAATAGTTAGGGTTGGAAAGGATCTTAAGATCATCTAGTTCCACCCCCCTGCCATGGGCAGGGACACCTCACAGTAAACCATGGCATCCAAGGCTCTGTCCAGCCTGGCCTTGAACACTGCCAGGGATGGAGCATTCACAGCTTCCTTGGGCAATCCATTCCAGTGCCTCACCACCCTCACAGTAAATAATTTCCTCCTTTTATCCAATCTAAACTTCCCCTGTTTAAGTTTGAACCTGTTGCCCTTTGTCCTATCACTACAGTCCCTAATGAAGAGTCCCTCCCCAGCATCCCTATAGGCCCCCTTCAGATACCGGAAGGCTGCTCTGAGGTCTCCACACAGCCTTCTCTTCTCCAGGCTGAACAGCCCCAGCTTTCTCAGCCTGTCTTCATACAGGAGGTGCTCCAGTCCCCTGATCATCCTCGTGGCCTCCTCTGGACTTGTTCCAACAGTTCCATGTCCTTTTCGTGTTGAGGACACCAGAACTGCACACATGTATGTCTTCCTCTCATACAGCTGTCCTGGAATGGCGGTGGACTGCGTGAATGGTGCAGTGGTTAATGAGTGACTGGTCCTGAGACATAGCTTGTGTTCTGCCCCGCTACTCGGTTCCCCTTCGCCACTTGTCCATTGGGAATATGATTTCCCAGTACGATATCTCATGCAGGGAGCCTTCTGTCCTGGGTGCTGCTTCTTACTCTACAGTGCTACACAGAATGACAGCAATCTCAGCTTTCACCCTAGTGTGATTAGTGTTCCTACATGTTCTGCTTCCCTCAAAGCCACAACAAAGCAGGTGGTGGTGTATATTTTAAGATGTCAGGCTGACATCGTGGCATTAATATCAGTTAAGCCAAACATTGCCCCTTAATTCACTTTGCTTTCTGCTCTCTTAGTGTCTTGCTTCCTTGTTCATGGTGCTCAAAGTCATGTGGCTCCTACTGAGTTTCTGTATGTTCTAAATTTGAACAGCCAGATGCGTCTCCCTTCGCTTGTGCATGGTCTGTCCTGTGTCTGGGAGCTGAGACTGCCACCGAGCGTGTCAGAAAGAAACGTCTCTCCTGCTAGAGCCACGGTGCGGTACCTTTCTGCTGGGAGTGCTTCTCTATGGGAACCAGGATTGCCACTGGGCTGTGAAGGAAGAAGCAAAATGCTGAGGCAAAGCACCCACAGGTAAGAATAACATATCTGTTTCTTTGTGCTTAACGCACTCGGTGGACCTAGATGGTAGGCTAAAATATGAATCATCAAAAAAGATCTGCAGTTGTTTTAGCAGCAGCTTAGGTCTTACAGAAATCCATGTTTAACAACAGAACATACTTAGAGAAGCAGGCAAGTTAGATGTAGATAGAGCAGTCCCTTCCGTAGCCCCTCTAAGCTACTACAGAAGTCTAAGGACACGTTTCATTGCTTCAGTGTGAAGTTGAAAACCGCTTGCTAAAGACTTAACAACATGCTGGGACTGTGATAAGTTACAATGGTTTATGTTTTAATACTGACAACTCACTTCCTTTTCATGCTAGAACCAACAATGACCTCCAAGTGGTGTCAAGGGGAGAAGCTGCATCTTTTTAGGATTGGTGGGAGAGGAGCAGTGGGAAAGTAGAGTCATGGGCAGTCCCATGCAGGATGCTCCTCTGTGTAACTCGGCAGTGTCCTCCAAGGTTAATTCCACTGCACAGCTGCACTGCTTGGGGCGATAAGGATGCATGAAATGAAAAGGGATTTCCCTCTTTGGGAATCAAATTAGAGCAGTCCAGATCAGGCCCGTGCTTTTATCTCTTTCTCACCCTAACAGGAAGTTTAGACACAAGTCCCCAGAGGTCCTTTTCTCATCAGAAACATCTGCAAGGGACTGAAGGAAAGGGGTGTAGGGACAGTGCTAATCGCCTTACTGTTAACAGTTGAGAAGATAGAAATGAAGTAGTGATATCTAGTGAGAAAAATGAGGAGGTTAAACACGCAGACACTAGAAATTGCTCAGAGTAATCCCCAGCATTAATGGCAGCATCGTTCCTAGGGAGGGGACCTGCCACCAGTAGCACTGTCATTGCAGTAGTCCATCTCTCCAGCACACAGGAGACCCTGAATCTTTGACCTCTATGCAAAGACCCCGAAATAAGGAAGGAAAAGGAAGAGTACAGCTGAAACCAAACATATTTCTCTTGCAGAGTTTACTGCCTGAGCACGGGTCAGATGCCGTGTGTTCAAGAAAGTCTTTTGATTCAGTCTTATTCCATCGAGAAGGAGTAAAAATAGCTCCCTCAGAAGCTGAAAACACAATGGCTGGTGAGTTACTGGGTGGGATTTTTCATCCCAGGCCTAATTCCCGATAGAAACGAATGAACGTTGATGTGTAACTTGAGTGAAAGCAGTTGATGGTCTCAGTCCAATCCTAATTAGATCCAAGTTCCCAACATTAGAAAATAGGCAGTGACCTGGCTACTGTTGTCAGTGGAGTTGTAGCAGTTGATGGGGAATGAACTCCCCTGCTGCAGAACTGAATTGCTGCTCTTTAAGCCGGGCCATGAGGCTTTAGCTTCCTGGAGAATTCTGCTTCTGTCATACCAACAAAGCAGCTGTACAGCATTCCTTGTACTGGCATATCACTTCTTGATGTTTGCTGGCATCAAGACCTGTAAGACTTTGTTCTTTTCCCCATATCAGACCTATAAAACCCTCCAGGGACTATCTGTACAACTGTCTGGTAGCTGATGTAGCAGAACCTCGCTCCAGTAAGTGGCATAAAAAGTAGCAGTGATGAGGTACCTCTCTCGTGTTTTTTTCTGTGAGCACTAAAACCACCTTTTAAAATTGGTTCTGCTGAAGATCACTTGCATATGGCCAGCGCTATAGAAACCTCTAATGCTTTTTGCAACAATAATATCTTCATTGGCTATGCAGCTAAATTGCAAAGAGTAGAAATCCAGATGTTTGTCTGCAGGAGAGACCATATCAAAGCATTATTTACCTTACAACTCAGAGCAGAGATGCTCGGACAGCAGCGCGTTTATCACAGCTTTGGCATTAGTCCCACAAACCCAATAAAGCAAATTCATCACTGCTAAAACTCCATTGTTTTAGCGGAGTTGCACAAGAAGAGATGTTGCCCAGCATGGTCTTGCCCCTCTTGTTGGAAAGGGTGGAACAAGATTTTGTCTCCTTTGATACCATCACAGCTGGTCTAATCTCAACTGGCACACATGAACAATTATCAGCTTTTCAAACCCAATACATCCAAACCAAGACAGTAATCCTGCAGTTGCCAAGTGACATCCTTAGATCATTTCCACAGTCTTTTGTTGTCTCTTTTTGGCCTGAATTCCTTGGGTCTCATTGATGTTGCTCTCTGTGCATCCCGTCATTTATTCTGTTCGACAGCCAGCGTCATACACTGAGAGATCCAGCAAAGAAAGGCAGAGGTCAGACTTGTGACATCTTTTGAGCTATGTATGTTTATGTAACCCAGCAGGGTTCATTTCCATCAAAGATGGAAATAGCATGTATCACTGCTGCTGGGAGTTCCGATGGGAGCATGGCTGAAAGGGCTGGGAAGAACTGTTGAGGAGGCAGCTCTCTGCTGTGTCTTGTCTCACTGGTTTCTTATGGGGGCCCATTCGATTTATGTATTGCTTGTTAGAAGCATATCTGCTAAATAAATAATGTGGGAAAGGAAGAGTGAAAACCTTCAGCAACCCAGTGAGAAGAGCTAATACTGCCCAGTGAGTATTATGGTAGCTCTTCAGAGATTGCAGCTGCAGAGGGAAAGGAGGAAAAGCAGTGAGAGCATGTTGGGCACACGCTGGAAAACTCAGGGATTTGTTGGGCTTTGTATGCGTGTGGAAGAACTTTAAAAGCTTGGTCCTGCTTTTCTTCCCAGACCTGGCAGCTCTTTGATGCAGAGCCGTGGCGGAGGGACCTGTCTTGGCTTCCAGATGAGAGCAAATTGTTCTTTTCCTCTCCTAGCTCCTTAGTTTTATGAGCAAAGCACAGCCTCGGTTCTGCCCACGGGAGCTGGTGCTTGTCCCTTGGGGAAGCGTGGCCAAGGTGGACTTGTGACTAGGAGCAGCAGCGACAGTTCTCTTTCTCTTGGCATTTTATTATTGGAACTTTCTGGCCCTTTCTCTGCAAGCGTTACTCCAGAAGCTTTTGTGGCCTGTGATGTGCAGGAGGTCAGGTTAACTGAGATAATTGTCCCCCTGAGTTCTTAAGTTAAGATCTGGTAATGACTAGGTGGTTATTACCTGCTTCTGATTTGGCTAAGACCAGTGAGGTGCCTCCTGATCTCAATCCTGATTTCCATGCGCGTGCTATGACGCTTTCAATTAAATACACGTGCTGGAAACCAAGATGAAACTTTGATTTATGGAGGTGTTAGGAATGTGTTTTGTGAATGTTTGAAATGAGCTTTGAGACCTGTGTGTAGAAGCTGCCAAATTTATTCAGCAAACCAAAACCCCCACAATGAATAACTCTAAAACATAGATACTTTTGATATTTATCTTGTATTCTTCTTGTTAGTATCAGCAGGAACACGCGTCCATGTGTGCTACCATCGTGGGAAACCAACACCACCAGCAAAACCAGACACAAACAATTAATTCCCTGGATTTTGCTGCTCCTTCTCAGGGCCATAAGTGGGAGAGGAAGCTGGAGGTTGTCTTTGAAGACAAGAATTCACAGGTGACTGAAATACTGCTTCCTTATTTATTTAGCTAGTTAGGTACTTGAGGTTTGCTGTCTGCACTCCTGATCTAGTCAGACTCCAGCACATGAGGTAATGGTCTCTGTGTGAAGTCAGGTCAGAACGCGTTCTGTCTACCAGAACCTCCCTTGCAGACAGTAAATCACTGTCCCAAACAGGTTGAAGACAGCTTGGTTAGATAACAGTTCCTTGCAGTAGATGGTAACCCTCAGTCCCTACCACGATGAAGTCTGGCTGCTGAGTAAACATTCAGGGAAACATTTTTCTTGTCCTACAGAGCTTGGAATCCCAAGAGGCAAGAGGCAAAGGGGGAGTCTGAAGCAAAACAGAAGCGAAGTTGCTCAGCCAACCGAGTTCATCAAGTCTGTGGTGGAGCTTGGACCTGAATGCACTGGCTTCCAGTGAAGTGTCTTAATGCCTAGGTACAGTATTGCTCTTACTGATTATTTCTTCACTCCAGCAGACCTGGGGAGACCTGAGTGCAGCTCTGATTTAAGGTCACTCAGGTAAATAGGTATGATGGCCTTGCATGGATATAAAAGGCGAGTCTATCAGGAGAAAGGGTTGAAGTGAAACAGCTTTGACATGAGCAGGAGATGACCAGGAAAGCAGGACCCATTTCATACACAGAACAACTCTAGATGGGTCCCTGGCATTAGCTGGGCTGTTTTCACAGCATTTCACCTGGCCCAAGAGCCCTGCTGCTCTTTCATAAACATTCTCCTTCATTCCAAAGTGATTCTGAAAACTATGAAAACCTCTTTTTGGTGTAGAACTATTTCTCTGAGCACATACAGTGGTCAGAGAGCTGATTAAGACAGTCTGAGCATTCAGTTACACAGCCATGGCTGCTTTCCTGCGACTGGAATTAAGAATCCAGATGATGTGTTCAAGATTTATGGTTTCCACTGGGCTTTATGCTGCTGATGTTCATTGTGCTTCACACAACATATTACAGCTCATTATGAACTCTGTCAGGAGAAGAGAAAATGAAGCCATTGTCTCCTGGAAAACCCTGTCTATGCAGTCACCCTTCAGTGGAAGACGTGATGTGTAAATATTCCAGTGTGTGATGTGTAGCTGGAGGCTATTGAGGCTGGTTTGGGGGAAAGCAGGAGGGACCTGGGGTGTGCCAGTAAGAGAAGGAGAAGATGTAATAAAGTTGGAGGTTACTCACAAACCCAGGGCTTGGCCTGTAACTGAAGCAGGACTGTGAACAGACATAGGATGGTTCTCTTCCAGACCCCTGAATCTCTTGTGCAGCTGGGTCATTCAGAGGGAGATTTTGCAAGGTCAGAGACTGATTCCTGTTTTTTGTGTCTCTTTGAATACTTAAATGGGCCACAAAATGTACAGAGGGCTCCATTTGCCCCCATGGTTACAATGCCCGGGTCGTTTGCTCACTGTATGCATCAGGGTGGAATTTGGTCTTGCTGTCATGCTCTTCATGATGAGATAGGCAGAATGTCATCCCTGCAACAGCACATGAGGAAGTGGAGTGAAGCTGCACCAGGGGAAGTTCAGATGGGACAGCAGGAAAAGGCTCTTCATTGGGAGAGGGTGGTGACAGGAGCAGGCTCCCCAGGGAAGTGGTCATGGCATCAGGCCTGTCAGAGTTCAAGGAGCATCTGAATGAGGCTCTTAGTCATATGGTTTAGTGTTAGGTAGTCCTGCAAGAAGCAGGGAGCTGGACTCAATGATCTTTGTGGGTCTCTTCCAACTTGAGATTGAGTCTATGCTAAGAATGGCATCTTCAGTTGAGCTCCACTCTTTGAATGCCCATGGTAAGCTTGGACGTACCCTCAAAATGTATATCTGGAATAAAGGCAGAGCAGATTTACTATAGGTGAGCTTCATGTAATAATGGATTTGTTGAAGTAAATCTCATTCATCCTGGTGTTGTGCAGTTTGTTTCTGTGAACAGTGGATGAGAAGCAGAACAAGAGCTTTGTTCTTGGTTTCACCACTGACTGGCTGTGTGTGACAAGGGGCAAGTCACTTCCTTTTTCTCTAGGTAATGACTGTTGAAGTCATACATCTCAAGAGACTCCTCTACCACTGAGGAGTCCTCCCCTGAGTTAGAGTCCCAGGTACTACCGAAACATAGAGGTGAACTTCTGAGGAACACCTGTTCTTCTTTCTCTGCTCTAAACTGTAAACCAAACCTGTGTCACTTTTATGGCAATTTGATCATGAATTGGGATTTTGGAATATGTTACTGTCTTTCAGTTAAGACTGTAAAATCCCTGTGGTTTACAACTGCTGCTGTCAACCCTACCTTTGTCTCATTGACCACCAATTGATCACCAGTCTTGATTTGCAAGACTCTTCAGTGCAGCTCCTCAGAGTCCCAATGGAACACGTTGTTTGGCCTCACTGCCACTGGTGCTCCTGAAAGCACAGTTGAGGGAGCTTTGGGAGTAGAAGCTCCCAATCACTGGATGTGTGTGTTGGCAAGCAAGGACAGAGAGGAAAACTGGACCAACATCTCCTCATCTGGGTCTTTGTTGTGCTGGCAAAGAACATGAACAATGCACCCATCCCTTGCCACCATGGAGTTTTTCCTATGTGTCTCAGGCTTTGTCATGATGGGATGGGTCACTGTGGTTGTGTGGGAATCGGGGTAAGTGATGGCTCAGAATTTTACCTGAAGAGTGTGTGCACTTAGAAACACATTGCTCTCAGTAGAGCTGAGGGAAGTTGGAGATTGGAAACATTAAAATACCACAGCAACGGCTGCTCTTGCAGTATTTATGATCAGAGTGAAAGCAGAATGAACCAGAAAGCTTCTGTTGGTGTCTCTTAACTCTTCTCACAAGGTTTCCCATCCTTCATCCTCGAGAGCCTGGGATAATTTGGATAGATTTCAACCACACACCTAAACTCCATGTGATTATCTGCACTGAACATCTGACCCCTTTTTGAGGTTCGGACATCTTTGGGCAAATGGAATCTAACAGAGATAACATCAGACTTTCTTTTTCATGCCTGAACTTCAAAAGTGCCTATTTTGGTTAATGAAGCTGTGGCATGCCCATGGGGCTCTCTGAGAGTGGCCAAGCCTGTCGCTAAGAATAGTGCTGGTTGCCAGCATGCTGCCCATTATTTGTTCACAGATCCATTGCTTCTATTCAGATAGAAATATTCTCCTTGCTTATGTTTCCTGGCTACCTCAATGGATGAATTTTAGCCCATGGTGGTGTTTGCAGACTCAAGATTCAGACCTTTTCAGTTACTTGTCCATCTGTATTTGCGCTGTGGAGTTTATGACCTCTCACAGAAAAAGCAGCTCCTCAGTTGCTGTTAAAGATTCCATCTCCAAAAGCCTCGATTAAGCTATCAGAAATTATCCTAGCTGAGGATTTAGATACTCAGTGGGGGTTTTTTATTCCCCAATTTAAATTGAATAAGTGAAACAGTTAAAGGAGAGTGATGAATGACCATTAGTGAGCAGTGAGAAATTGCTTTTATGATTCTTTCACATCCTTTGTTTGTCATGCCAAAGGTCCTAAAACTTTGCTGGATATTCTTATAAATCATCTCAATATTTGCAAAATGAAATTGCTTCTTGAATTACACCAAAGCAAATTCACTGGGATTGATGGGCCTTTGACCTACAAATTGCAGAGCTATTTATACCAGAGCAAAGTGGAGGTGAAATCAGACCTTCTTGATCTGGCAACAGTTTTGCCTCCACTTTGAGCTGATTTTACTGGAGGGAATACCATGTCTGAAGGGGGCCTACAAGGATGCTGGAGGGGGACTCTTCATCAGGGACTGGAGTGACAAGACTAGGGGTGATGGGTTCAAACTGAAACAGGGGAAGTTCAGGTTTGATCTAAGGAAGAAGTTCTTTACTGTGAGAGTGCTGAGGCACTGGAATGGGTTGCCCAGGGAAGCTGTGAATGCTCCATCCCTGGCAGTGTTCAAGGCCAGGTTGGACAGGTATGGGTGACATGGTCTAGTGTGAGGTGCCCCTGCCCATGGCAGGGGCTTGGAACTGAATGATCTTAAGGTCCTTTCCAACCCTAGCTAGTCTATGATTCTATGAAATGACCAGGCAAGATATTGTATGTTACATATCATTCAGTGGACCCTTGCCTCTGCCTGTGTGTGTCTGCTGTTGCAGTAGTGCCAATGGCTCAAAAGCCTCTGTACTCTGAGCAGATGGGGGTAAAAGGAAAACAGTTTGTCTTGGGGCATAGTTTTCTGCTTGCTTACACCACTGCAACTCACTGTAACCCTGCGGAGCCACTCTGGAGTAAAAGGGGTGAGACATGAGCATCCTTTCCTCGTGTCCCAGTGCTTGCAGATCCCTCACTACTGAGTGCATTGTCTAAACAGCTCAAGGACAGGACACGTGGCAGAGAGGAGGTGGAGGGAGCAAACAGACCGACTGACAGACACTGGGCTCCATAGACAGCCAGACAACAATTATAAATAGCACCCTTTTGAGGGTTGTTTGATGTGTTGCCCAAGGCCAGGTGGAAAATCTTTCCGTTGCTGCCTCTTCAACTAATCGCTTTCCCCTCATTTTTCAATAAAGATTCCAAGTTTGGTCACTTCTTTGGCACATTTGTTTCCCATTAGAATACTTTGTGCTATTTTGCTGTGTTATGCTAGATAATTGCTCTAATAACAAACCAAGGAAAAGCGTTTGAACCTTTTAGGAAGTAATTTTTTCCCTTCTGAAAATGCAGAGATCTGGGGAATAGCTGAGGAAAGTCAAAGGGAGAGAAAGGGGAAAAGGAATGTATTGACTTTTATTGATGGTATTTCTGCACTTACAAGTGAACCCCATGCCAAAAATTTAATTGCAACCCAACTGAGTATTTCGATGGCGCTTTATCGTCTTCAAAGCTTTTATAGAAGTATTATTTAAGTGACCCCACAGTATCCTGCGATCAGGGACACAAGGTTATTGTCTTCTACTGCTGAAGCAAAGTCTTGTTGGAATGGCAAAAAGCAAAGACAGGAATTCAAGAGGTCCTGCCATTGCTGAACTTCACCACTTGCCATATATTAAGGGCAAGAGTGTTTGAAGAGCCTCGGTAATAGTCTGAGGCAGAGTGAGTTTTAGCAGAGTAGTGCAGGGGAAAACAATTAGAACATGTTTAGTACTTTCAGTAAACTCCCCCTCTGTGTTTGCATACTGCCAAGATGCCTTTAAGAATTGACTGTGGTCAAGGGGATAGGGAGATAAATAATATAAACTGAGGAGAGGAGGCTTCAGGCTGATTTACTGAAGCCTCTTAGCGAAATTCTTTCCACTCATAATCTGAGAGAGGTGGAGCTCTTTGTCTGCGATGCATTTCCCATCTAACAGCAAAAGCTCCGAGTGCACTCAGTGCTCAAAATGAATCCTGGGGTAGAGGTGTTTGAGGGAAGAGAACTGTGGACGAGGGTGCAGGACACAGGCTGGCTGGGCCTGACCTGCCATGAGGCACTGGCTGTGTTTGTGAGCTCTTTCTGCCTGCACTTGGAGCTTCGGTTCCCCTGTTCCACAAAGGAGGAGTGATGGCACTTTGCAGAGTGCTTTTAAACCTAGGCTTGAAAAACACTGTAAGAGCTGGGTTCGGAGCACGTGGGTCCTCCCAGAACTAACCTCTGCTCTGGCCTTAAAGTGGGATTTTCACTTCTTTATTGTCTTCCTTCTTTCCGAGCCATCCTGATATTTGTGGTGGGAGGGGAGAGGAAATGAGTACAGCTTGGCAGAAGGTTCTTTTCTGAACTTGACCTCTGGATTTGCTGCAGATGGCCCAGCTCAGATGCCTCCTCTGTTGTGGTCCATACTGATTGCATAGCCTTAGGTGTGGCCTGTCTAGATTCTGGCTTTCCCTGTGAGTCGTGCTGGAGTCATCCTTCCACTGAGGCACTCGTGCTGAATCCCAAACACCAGCACTCTATTGCTTCTGCTGATCACATCACCACTGCTTTCCCCAGGGCTTTGTTGAGGTCTGGTTTTGCTTTGCCTCTCTCTGTTGGCATTGAGCTTTCCTTAGTACAGCAGCTGCTAGATTACGCACACTTGATCGTGGTCTGGTAGAAGAAAGAGGGAGAGGTAATAAAAGTCGTGTGTGTCTCCCTCTTTTCTTCCCCCCTCCTTTCTGGGAAGCTGCTTGGATGTTGCAGGGATGCACGGTAGGAGATGCACATGCTGAATGCATGGGCAAAAGGGACACTAGAGGCTTTCAGCCACTTTGCTCTTCTGCAAATTCCTCACTGTGCAACCTCTGCCTGAGCAGCTGACAGTGCTTTGCTGACAGCCCCGGAGAGTTAATGAACTAAAAGGGCTATGGGTTATCTATTCTCAGAGATTGGGGAGCGTGAATTAAATGGTCTTTTGGAAGATGGGAAATAATTATTCTTCTGCTTCAAAGCCATGTCCAATTGAATGATGTCGCCAGCACGAATCAGCAATCACAATCACTGATGAAGACCCATTAAACAGATTGGGCTGAGTGATGCACAGGAAAAAATATCAGGAGCATCTTTAATTCTGAGTCTCTCAACCCTACAAAGTTGGATTTGTTTTCTTTCTTTTTAAAAGAAACTAAGTGCTTAGAGCTTTCCTATCTCAGCACTTTAAAGCTAGAAATAGCTAGGAACGCATTTCTGCACCATCCCTTGTAGAAAGGCAAGGACTGGAGTAGCTCAGTTTCCTGGCTATCGTCTGGAATATCTGAAGGGTATTGTTTAGGATGTGTGAAGTAAAGAAACCTTTTGGGAAAAGGTTTGGGCAAGATCAGGTGGGAGTTCCTCCACTTCCAGCCATGGGATACTGTTCTGTATGGCCCTTCCTTCCAGCAGTGCTGCGGCAGGGGTGAGCTTCCCCAGGGCCAGCACTTCTGTACACTTGAAGAGAAGGGTGAATGTTGAGTGATCCTTACTGAAAGACAGACACATTCTTCTGTAGTTCAGCTATTGCAAAAGTGACATAATGAAGTCAAACATTAGGCATGATCATTAGGGGAATTCATTAGAAATGCTTGGCTGTACAATGAATTCAGTTGGAAGTTCTGAACTAAACTCTTCAGTGTTATCAAAGGGAGGCAAATCTTAATGCAGTGGTTTGCTTTTTAACCATATGAGCTGAAACTTCAGGGGAGTTGTACCAAAAGGGAACCTTGCCACTTTGCTCATGTGCCAGAGAAACAGGTCAGTAGGTTGGGCACCAGGTAAATCGACTTGTTAAAGTCCAGCATCTTCTCCAGTGGACAGTGGGTTACACAGACAGTACAAGGAGACTGAGAAAGGCCCATATTTAGGAGGGAGCAGTCACTGTGATCAGACCCAGGGTCTACCTAGTCCACTAGGGTGGCTCTTGCTAGTTAGCTGTAGTATAATCTGCCTCCGTGTTGCACCTTATCTTAATCCCTAATGAGTCAAACTTGTCATATCACAACATTCACAAATACAGGAAGGAGCAGCAGCATGAGTGGTTTGCAGGGATGTAATGAAAGGCTGAATGTTGTCTTAGGGCTACACTACATAACAATCCCGGACTGGTTTTGAGGATGATGCTCTAGGTTATGTGAGGATGCTGAGGAGCGGTAGCAGCTCAGTCTGGAGCACCAGCAGCCTCTGACCCTCAGCACCTAGCTGGGTTTCAGCTGTCCAGACTTGGACAGCAGCAGTGTAGGTGTCTGCATCTGGGATAACTTCATTGGCTAGGAGGAAAAAGACATTTCTGAGGCAATTTATCTTAAAAGCACTGTCCAAACCAGGTCAGATAAGTATGGTCTTCTAGTTTCTTTTCTTTTATGGTAAAATGGAGATGGAAGACGTCTGACCTCTAATCTCAGTGCAGCATTCCGATTTTCATTTTCCTTCCCTCCTGCAGGTACCTGCAGACTTCCAACTGTCACAGAGCTGAAGACAAGGTGGAAAATGTGACCTGGGTGGCATTTGCCTGATTGTGCAGCCTGTCGACAAAAAAGCTTCAACAAATGCAAGCTGTTCCCCTTCCACTGAAGGTAACAGAGACGTGCATGGGAGCACCATGTAAGTTCTCCCTGGAACTTGGTTTTGCCAGAATCTATTTAGTCAAGAAACAAAACCCACTGATGACCCTCGTATCAGTGGATCAGCCTCTCAGATGTCCAGCTTAGTGTTGCTTCTGAGGTGCTGCAGGGTGGGCTCAGCAAAGGCTTCACAACAGCAATGTGTGTAATCTCTGATCAAAAACTCCCAGGAGGGCACAGAAATCACTGGGGGACTTTTATTCTGCATTGGCATACTCTGGTGCTGTTGATTGATATACCTGTTGGATCAAAGCTCCATTCTCTATTGGATTTGATATATATTGGTAGTCCTGGTGTCCTCCACCCGGATGTGGGTACGTTCCAGCTCAATAGCAAGGGCGTTTGTACAAGCAGGATGGCAAACAATGCCTGCTTGTTTTGACTGTAGGTTGTTAAAATGCTACTTTGGAGCTTGTGTCATGATGTTGGAATGTGAATTCAGTATGAAAGACACAGAAGTGTTTTAAAGAGGTATCATGCAGGTCCCTGCTCTGCTGCACGAGGATGAGTGAAGGGCTGCAGGGCATTGCACTCATGCTCCGTCTGAGCACTGCAGAAACAGAGGTCTTTCACCCTCTCTTTGTAGGCTTTGTTTTCTAAAGGTTTTTAGCATTTCTTTTGCTCCCTTGTGGGGTTTATCCACTTTCCTCTACCTTTCCACTGAAAAGCTGTATCTGAAACCTGAATGCTATGGTTAGCTAGGGAATCACTTATGCCAGAAAGAAATCCTTCCGTGACCTCCATTGAGTATGATGCTCCTGATAATATACTGTGAGAGTCTGTAAGAATCAGACAAAAGCCAGAGGGTTAAAAACAAATTCCCAGGAAAAAGCTCTTTTGAGGGCAGTTAAATCCAAAGGAACCTCTTCTGCCTCTGAGAACTGAAATGCCAGTTGGCAGTTGGAGGAGCATCCTGCAGTAGAAACACTGTGTGCTTGTCCTGCCCTGAAAGTCTTTCCTAGACATTGGCCTGCCCAGAAATAACTTTTCATATGATTTGAGAAATAAAGGGGACACAGACACTAAGGAACAAGTGCCTGGTTTACTGCTGGTATGTTGGGCAGCAGCTTTGTCCTGTGGCCTTCCTACAGTGAGGAACCATTGAGGGCTTGGACAAATATGTCCACCATTCATACTGGACAGCTGTGTGTAGCTGGGCTAACATTCAGTCAATAGGGTGCGTTCATACTATAGTTGGATGGAAGTTTGGAGATGCTGGGAAATTGCCTTGTGCCAGATTGGAGTGAAAATCCTGAAAAATGCTGACAGAGGAAAGGGGAAAAATGTGGAATTGTGCTTGGGTGGGAAGTTCTGGTTTGGCCTCTCTGGGAAAGGCTGAGAAATAGAAAATAATCAGAACTAAACAATTCAGACTGGAATTAAACTGCATCGAAAGTTCTTTTGAACAGAAAGGAATGGCTCCAGTGAGTGTTCAAGCAGCATTTTTTGATTAGTTCAGACTTTCCCCCCCTCCCAACCTTTTCCCTGTTTTCCCTCCTGCTCCATGGCTCTGGCAATGTGATGCCACCAAACCATTCCTAGAAAAAAGGGTTTGGTTTGGATGACTCCAAGTTTTTCAACAACATGGTATTTTGTGAGAACATTCCCCGCTGCTTCTGCTCATCAATAAAGTTGATGAGTTTAACCAGGCTCATGGCTGGCTAGGGAAAAAAAGCTCCCCCAGTTCAAGAAGTGGATAAATAACTTGGCACAAAGTCCTTCTCTGTTGACTCAGTTTACTTTGTGGACCCGGGCATGACTGTCATAATAAATTAAAGCATGAACATTCCCATTTGTCACTTCACCACTTCCTTTTGCTGCCTTCCAACATGTGGTAAAACCATTAGTTTTAACACAGAGAGAAAAGGCCAGATGAGGGGAGGAAAATAACGCTGGAATTAAGGGGAGAGAGGAGAAAGGGGACGTGAAGTGAAGGCAGCACTGAAGCACCAGTTGCATATTTACAGGGGCATAGTTAAAGTCATTTGGGTTTAGCAGCTTTCTCTGGAGGAAAAAAGGTGATGATTCTTCTTGAAGTCACTAATAACCTATGGGCCTAAAACCTATGGGTAGAGAAAGGCTCCTCTTAGTCCCTGGGTTTTAGTTAGTTATGCACTGAACTGCTTATATGTAAGATGTTCCTTGCTCTCTCTTCAGTTCTACACAGCATCTCTTCACTGCTCCTTGCCATCATCTGGAGTAATTTCCTAAAGCTAAAGGAGGATGTGTTCAGATCAGGCCCCTTGTTGACAAGGTGTGAACAGATTAATGGCCGTCCCATCCCACCTGGCTTCACAGGAATAGACTCAACCTGAGCGGGCTTTCCAGGAATCCCCTGCTGAACCTGATCCCCTGCAGAAACAGAGGCCTTCAGCTTTGAACAAGAGCAGAGGTCAAATTCAGACACAGAGAGGGTGGGTCTGTGGATGTATGTGTGATGGGAAGCTCAGAAGAATGTAAGTTTGGGATGTGAAAGCATCACACTCCTGAATTATGATTATTTATTGTCATGATAGTGCCTGGAGGCCCCAGCCTCATTGTGCTAAGGACTCCACAGACACATAAAGAAGAGACAGTCCCTGCTCTGAAGATGAATGAGGAAAACCCCCGATGGGGCTGGGAACAGCTGTGGCATATATCCATCAAGCTGATGGAGCATGTTTACAAGGTGGGTATGTGAGCCTATGTGAGTGTAAGAGAGACAGCAAGAGAAGGAGAAAGCTGGATGTCAGTTTTCATCTCCCTGGCTCTAAAGAAGGGGTTTTACTTTTATTACTATTATTTTTATTCTCACCTCTCTCCTCCAGTACTGATTATCCACAGGTAAGATAAGAATTAACAGAAAAGTTTTAGTGATATTTGCTATAAATCTGGATGCTGAAAGATGTGATTCAGTAAATTCAGTCTGTATCTTTAAGCAAGTCACTTTTGCTTAGACTTTTTAAAGGCAATTTGTTACCTACCCCCCATAATGTCTCTTCAGAAACATAGCTCTTTTATCTTTTAGTGCTTTAGCTTTACCAAGTCTAAGTGTGTAAGAATGAAATGAATAAAGAAATCAGTTTTTGCATGAGCAGTGTATTTAATGAAGCCTAGTTTTCCCATGGACTTGTATCTATGATTCTATGATCTCTGTCCTTGCTGTGCCCTCACCACACTGGTGCTGAGCAACACAGAAAACATATTGTTTGGAGCTTTGGGGTAGGGACCTGCTGCTCGTGCCAAAGGAGCTGTGGAGTTTTAGTGCCTTCCCTTCACTTGGAAAACTCATTTGAAATCCCTGTCCCTTGGTCAGATTTGCCCAGGATTGGACCCTGGGCCCAAAAGCTATGTGATTAGGAGGGAAATAAGCAAATGCACTGGCAACACTACCATAGACAATGTGATTTTGGCGGAGGGGGATTTGGTCACCTACTTGTAGCAACCTCCTAGAAACCTAGTAGTAAGAATTGCTAAGTATTGAGGAGTGCTGTGCTTGGTAAGGGTTAATGAAATATCTGCTCTGAAGCTCCTAGAAGAGAGGGGAACAGAGCATTCTGCACATCAGTGGGACATGGTGGTTCTTGAGTACTCTGGGGAGAAAAAAGAGCAGGAGAGAGAGGTATAAATTCTTTCTTTTAGTTCTTAGAACAATCACCAACAAGAAGGAACTTAGCTATTCTTAGTAGCATCTAGGGGCTAGGCATAATCTTTCCTGCTGAATTATGGAATATGATAGCTTTTATTAAATCCATTACAATTACAGCCTCTCTGCTGCACAGGTTTAGAATATGGAATAAGTAGGGTGCATAATTTCAAATAAATATTTAAGGTTTTGATGCGTGATACGGTTTTAGACTCTTAGGAAATAGAATTATATTTAGTTAGAGCAGTTTTCATTCACACAAACTTTCCTCTCCCGATACTTTGTGGGTCTGGATAGTTTTCTTTGAAGAACTCTTCATAATGGGCAAAAGATTGTGGCTGCTCCAGGTTTGCCTAAGGTTTTATCTGTGTTGGTGCTTTGGATCTTCTCTAAAGTAGATGGGTACAGGAAGTCAGAATTTATTTGAAGGTCAGAACTAATCTTAGGATTGCATGAAACTGGAAAAAATGTTAAGAAAAATTGTGTCCAAAACTGAGGAAATCTGGACAAATTATTCCAGAATTTGGATTGTGTCTCTTTGCAGGGGCACGGGAGCAATAGGGAACAGGCGATGTGCACACGGTGGCTGCCCTGGATCCTCAGCTCACTGCTGCTGTCGGGTTCTACTACATGGTCATGGACGTCCTCCCCTGCATTGCTGCCAGCAGCAGTCATCTTAGGTGAGTGTGAAAGGGTCAGCTAGATGAGTGCCTTAGCACAGGTAAGTGGGAGCTCCTTTCCCTGGCTTTGCTTCATCCCTACCTGGGTAGATGTCTCCAGCCATGTAAGAGATGATGCTCCCTAAGCAGCCCTGGGCTGAGCCTGTCTGTGTGTTGCTAACAGCTTCTTGCTGATAGCTTGGCTGTTGAAGCTGACAGCTCATAGCTGGCTACTCACCAGCTCCTGAGTAGTCTCATCTCAGTGCCTCACTGAGACTTACTCGTGGGAGTGCCATTGGCATGGGAGGTTACAAGCATGCTGCTCCTAGCCTTGGGGTAGTTGCTTCACAAAACCCACTAGTAACAGGAATACTTGATCCCTAAAGGAGCAAGGGCAATGAGGGCAGTGTCGGAGAGTCCTGGAGGAAACAGGCAGGGACAGCTCACCATTTCCCTTGCGGGCTGCCCAGACAATGGACAGTGCAGCTCTTGGAAGAGCAGCTAAACCTCTTTGTGAAGCAGGTATGGAAATCTCTGAGCGTGAGACCAAGAGGGGAAACCCCCTCTGGAGGATTCTGTATTCTTCCTTTGTCTTCCCCACACCTGCTCCCTTTCGTCTTCCGTTCTCCCCACCCACCCTTCAAGAAGATGCTCTAGGTGTTGGCTTGGACTTGGCTGCCAATACTCTGCGGAGATGTGTTAATGATGACTGGCAGCTTTTAAAAGCACTGTTTCAACACCTTGCTGTCACCACACCTCATACTTCAGCAGCTTAGCACATGTTCCAAGGTGTTTAAAGAGCTTCCTGTGCAGTCCTTTTCCAGGCACTAACCTCTTGCCAGGAGCAGTAGCAGCTCCTGACCGCACTTTTCTGGCTGCGACCTTGTTAGTATTTGCCTACGACATGTAAATGAGCAGCGCAGTCGTTAGCTACTGAAATGTGTAATGTTTTCCATTGTGTGGAAGGCTTAGAGCTGACAAGACCAGAGCTTGTGTTCCAAAGTCTAAAGCAGTTGGCAGGTTTCTCAGTACCAGTTTTTTATGCCCCCAAGTGGGTTACGGAGCGGAAAAGGGGGTGGAGAGGAAAGGAGAGGGAGGAATGTGTGCGGATGTATGGTGGGGGGAGAGTTAGCGGGAGAGAAGGGCCATTTGCAAGCCACCAGCTTTGAATGTAACTCACATGGGCCTTGTGGTGGTGCTGAAGGGCCTGTTGTGCTCGTTTGATTGACTCTGGGCTTGATGCTGCTTGCCACTTACCAGCACTTGTCTTTGCTCATTAGCAGGGGGATTGTGGGCAAATATTTAGATATTCAAGAGAGGAAATGTTAATCTTTGCAGTGTTCACTGAATATTTAAATGAGGCAGCAGGCAGTTTTGCTCTGTGTTTGACCTAGACTTACAATGCTGAGGAAACGCTTGAGTCTTGGGGTGAATTAATAGCCTTGCACCTCCTTAATATTAGGGTTCAGGTCATGCAGTGAAGTTCACACCTCCACAGAAGGCAGTGCAATCAGTCCAAGCCAAGCCCTACTGAATATAAATGGAGAAGCTTTGGTCTGCGCCAGAAGTGCAACCCTCATGAAGTGAGAATGATATTGGCTGTGTTGTAGACCCTCTGGTCTGGGTGTAGGAGATGGTCTTGCTGTGAAAGTTGAAGATAATGATGACTGGTGGTTGCTGGTAGACTGGGCTCTTAGGGTGCTCCTTTTGGTAGAAGATGAGAAAAATGCAGTCATTCCTCTTGAGGTTTGGTCAGATGAATCTTCCAAGCTGAAGTATAAATTAGGAACTTAATGTGTTTAGAGGTGAACGTGGTATTTGTGCTGGTGCTCTGATGACCCCCTTGTTGAGCTGGTGGATGATGGATAGAGTGCCTGTCTGCCTGGAGTGTAAAATAGGCTCAGGTGGGGTCAGTCTGCACTGACAAACTCGAAGCATGTAATGAGAAATGTCTTGCATTGCATGTTATTACCCAAAAGCTTTCTCTAAATGTACTTAGTTTGAGTTTAGGTCCCTTTTCCTTGCTACCTCCTAAGGTTATTGTAGACAACAAACATGGAAGCAGCAAAAGATGATTTGAAAATGCAGGAGGTGAATATTGAATTAGCAGGTCCTGATATCTGCACATGAATCTTGATTATTTTGTATCAGGATCAGATTAGGAATACTCTGTATATCCTGTTTGAATTTTGCATATTTAATATCCACATAAGTTCCTTAGGGAAAAGCACTAGACAAGGAATTACTGATGGGAATAATATTGTTGGATAAGGTTAAAAGACAAATTTATCTGTATATATCACAACAGATGAAGGGCCAAGAGGATTGAATCTGTTGGCTGCTTATTTAATCCATGTTTTAAGGGAGTGTATCCTCAAATAAACATGGTACTAACTTTAACAAGGTAAAGGAGTAGGTTGGTTCAAGCCAGATCCTGCCAGGTGCTGCGCATCTACCCTGACCCAGTTGCATTTCTGTGGATCAGAACCTTTACGGTTAAGGTGATTCGGTTAACCTGAAATTATTCTCTTTTCATTTGATTAATTTGCAGCAGAATCACCTGGGAAATGATTTGCTTGTTCCTAAGTACAGTCGCTGGCTACATCCTGACAGGATGAAGTGAAAAACATTTATATGGATTTTATTATTGATGGAGTTCCTAAACACAGTTTCTTTATGTTTTCTGTCTCTCGTATTCCAGTAGCTGCTAGTCAATTAAATATTTCTCCAGTAAATTTGAGGCTTAGAGAATCCCTTGGGAGTTGTAGAACTCCTTTTAGTGGGAAGTAAAAGCTGGTTACTATAGGTTTAGGCACATCTGACAGTTCCACCCCACGTGCGGTGCCTCCATTTGCGGCTGTGCCCTCCTACCTGGGATCTTTTCCTGGTTTTCCTTTGGTGTTTTTCCTTTTTGCCTTTAGTTGTCTTTTTCTTCACATCACATTGCTGCTTTGGGGAATTCTGTGAGGACAGCTTGTTCTTGGTCCGCTCTCCACTTGACCTTCACTCAAGGCAGGGGGTCAGCAATGCAAACCCTGGCTCCACACCGCAGGAGCCAGCTATCCACTGGCAATGCAAAGCAGCTGATACATTCACTGAAGCCAACTTGTGAGGCAAGAGATAGCAGTGACTTTAGTCACAGCCACAGCAACAGCTTTTAATCATGGCTCTGGGTTCCAGTTGGCAAGCTGGTGGTGATAGGCACAAGATCCCATGTTTGCATCAGCTGGTTTCACTAGTCTTGCCTTTTTTAGAGCGTCAGTGCCAGATTGGCAGAGCTTTTCAATGTGTGCAGTAAATGGCTGCATGACTTTAGTTTTTAAAATGCCCTCTCTGAGTCTGCTTCTCATTGTCAGACGTTTTTGTTGCTCTTCTTCCTGACTAAGCCTGGCATTGTGTGCAGAAAACCCTGGCTTGTAGCTCTCTGCAGATATAGGGCACTTGCCGCTCTAGGGAGTAGCGCAGTAATGGGAGAGCATCAGAGAGTCTCCTGCACTTAGATTTGTCAGCTGCACTCGAGTGCATCACACCCAGCAGAGTAAAATTCCTGGTACCACTTCTTCCACTGATACTCCCTTGTCAGAGCTTCTCCTCCTTCTCCGTTACCTCTGCCTGGAGCCCAGCACCTGGAGTGGTGGGAATGGGGAGCAATGTTAAAATGAATCCAGAAGAGCCTAACAGCAAACTAATTCCCATCTGTAGAGTGCAGACCCTTTGCAGGAGGCACCCCCATCTTTGCACTATCTGAGGGTTGTTCTTCAGTTGCTCTTTTAAGCCGTCTGATTTTGAAATGATGTTAGGTGTAGGAAAACAAAAGCATGTTTAACTGGGGCTGGTGCCAAAGGCGCAGTGTAATAGATCTCTAGGTGGAAACAGTCTCCATGTCTCCATCCATCACCTCTTCCTCTGGAGCTTCTGTCTTGGCAGGTATCTGCAGGATAGATGGCAAACTGTAGTGGCTTTTGCTCAAAGAAGCTCGAAAGCAGCATCAGTAATCCTGATAACAGGGCAAGTCAGAGGGCTGCAGGATTTCATAAAGAAAGGCTAACAGGGATTTGAACTTAAACCTTGTACCTCTTTTCTACTCTTTTCCCTACAGCTTAAGGTGTGTGTTCCAGTTGCTGGAGCCAGGCTGAAAAGCTCAGTTCAAACACAGCTGGGCCTCCACCCATTCATGGGGCAGACCACGGGAGCATTCATCACTGTCAGTGTCATTCTGCCTGCGATGGTTCAAAGGTAACAGTCATTTTCTATCAGGTTTTAGAAGCTGGTGTGAAACAGAGCCACAGGTTTCATTCCTGACACCTAAAGAAGCTTCTCTGTGTCACCGTTGTTGATTTGGATGGGCAGTAACATGCACTAGGACAGGCTCAACAGAAGGGGCAGTGCCGCCTTGGCTTGAAGAGGCAGGGATGTATTCTGTACTGGTGCAGCTACTCTCTTCATAAATGAATTTACACCATGTAGAATAGAAGCAATTCCTTATGCTCTCTTCATCCCTCTCTGATGACCTCCCAAAACGAGTTATTATGCTGACTTTTACATAGCAGGGGAAGGCGGCTCCTGTCCCCAGGCTTGTTCCTCCCTTGTTCTTTCACTGCATTATGCTGTTGTTGGTTCATTGATTTTTGCTTTTGTTGTTGTTGCTTTGGGTTTGTTATTCTGCAAAGAAGAAAACTGTAATAATTAAACCCCAAACCTTCCCTTCATGCCCAACCAAACCCAGAACCCAGAGAGCAAGCAGGCAGGGTGTGATTCCTGATGGCATGTGGCAGGAGGAAAATATTCAATTCATTGTCCAGTGAGAGCCATTGTGAACTTGAAAGGGACGTTGTCGAGTAATTTGATTTTCCCACAGAGTGTTGCAACCTATCGAGGAGAGTATCTCTTTGGTGTGGTAGATGCCAAGCTCCAGAAAGGAAAATGCTACTGAAGCAGTGCCAGCTGGCTGCTATCCCAAACTCCATTTCCAAAGCCAAGGTAATGGCATCAGCAAGGCTGGCATGAAAGTGGAAACAAAACAATCTCTGTCTTGACTACAGACTCCCTTTGGAATCACTTCCATGTGAGGGAGAAGAGAGGAAGGCAGGGGAGAAGAGAAGGGGGGCGAAGAAAATGTTTGCCCAAGTAGAAAGTGTTAAAGTCCAGTGAAGCAGGCTGGTGAAGTGTGCAGTTCTGTGGAAATCCAAAGAGTCTCAGTGAGGGATTCCAGCAGGGAAAATCCCCATCCTTGATTTTTACAAGTAGCAAAATAGGCAATGCTGACAGTGTTGAAACCTGGTATTTTGGTAATAATTCCATTTCAGGGTTTTATGACATGGTAAATGTCTAATTCTGAGATCCACATATTTCACTCGATTGTCCCATATTTATTATTACGTCAAAATTAAGTCCAATAAAAATAAAACTGTTGATCTCAGAACGAAGCCTTTAACCTCTACCAAACCAGCTGTCATTCCCCCCAGGACTGTTGGATTTGGGTAATTCATGCTGTGATTCAGTGCAGTGAAGGAGCTTGATTATGACAATTCCTGCAGAAACTGCTTCTAGACCAGGTTTAATCAAGGTGTTAATCACAGTTTTAATCAAGCTGTTAATGACAGCTTTATCTTTCAGAGCACTTTAGAACAGTAAGAGGACCTACATGATATTACATATAAAGCCCTTAGGTTTTACTTGTACCTGCATGGATGTTCCCTGCGGAGCAATGGGGCACATTGGTTGGGCTACAGCCCTCCTTGGGTATGTCTGAAGGATTTTCTGGCACCAGGAAAGGTTTTCATCCTGACAGTGAGGATTGCAGGTGAAATTAGCTCACAGCTATCTCCATCCATCTGCCCAGAACTGGTTTGCCATTATTTATCTGTATTTTGCTCATGTCAAAGAAATACAAGGTAGCTAAAACTATAGCCCTCTATATATTGCCATCTCTATGAGCAGTGAAAGACCAGTACAGAGTACAACAGAGAGGCTCATTTAGATCCATCACTGTCTTCAGCCACTCTGTTTTCTGTCAGTCCCAGCAACGACAGATGAGTCTTATCCTTTGTTCTGTATGTATTATGAGTTACTGCATTACATATTACGAGGTTTCACTTTTACTATGTGTTGTTGGGCAGAAACCAGGAGGTTAATGCATGCTGGAACATCATCCATAGCATGACACTGCATAGCAAGTGTTGAATTTGGGCACTGGTAGATACTGGTTTTATTCCTGACCCACCCATGGACTCAATTTTGTAACTGTCCTTTTCTTCTCTTTGCTATGCCCTAGGACATTGGGGTAGTGGTGACTTCTTGCTTTGCAGGGCATTGCAACTCATTTGATGTGTGTTCATGAAATGTCCCTCGGATGTCAGACCTCTGTAGAAGTTCAAAGGGGTGCATTGTGGACTCTGTCCTCTTCCATTTGCCCTGGTGGACATTAATTGGGTATAGAAAAGTTGTTGTTTTCCTTCAACTGGAAACTGTTGAGTCAGCGCAATGGCTCCCAGCTGGTACAAGGCAAAGAACTTGCGAAAGGTTTTCCCCTCATAAAGTGTGTCTCACAGCCTGGGCAGTGCTAATGCATGGCTGTTGCAGGACCCCCTGCTGAGATGGTCCCTGAGACCACTGCTGTTTAGTTGTACTTCTGAGCTGCCAGTAACACTTCAGAAACCAGTGTAAGTGATGCCTGTAGCATTGAACAGCCCACTTCAGTCAAGTCTTGGGTGGGAGAACTTTTGTGTTAATAGGTTGTGAATTATCTAAATGAATCCAGTGGTGCTGGCCTGGCTGTGGTGAGATGTGTTTCCAATGCATAGGTGAGATTACAGTGTTGAATACTGAACGCATCAACACTTAGTAGCAAAAGAAAAAGAAGTTAATAAGTTACTCAGTAGGGCTTAGAAATATGCATGTAAGTAGAGACTGAGTATTATAAATACAGAAGCCAATGTTTCTAGAGGAAAAAGTGGCAAAGTAACCAAAGCATCTCTTTCTATTAGTGTTAGCATTGTTAATATGGCTCAGTATTCAGTAAACTTCACCTTTTATATATGGAAACTTAATTTGGGGAGTGTGGAAATGTTCTCATTTTCTTGGGAATACTTATTAGCCATAGGAGTATATTTGAAGGATGGAACACGTCCAAAACTCCTCAAGCATCTCGGAAGCAGAAGGTACATCAGGGGGTTAAAAGGCATCATTTAAATGACATCATTTACTGTTGTTCAGGTGATAAAGGTGAGGCACTTGGGTGTCAAAAAGAGGCAGTATGAATGGATTAAATGGAACGCATCCAAGGGCTCTGGAGAAATAAAAGGTCCAAGGTGTGACTTAAACAAACATCCTCCATGGGCTTTACTTAGTTCTCTTCCAGCTCTTCAACTGATACTCAAAATTGATATTTCTAAATGTTGTTTTGAGGCTGTTTGGGTTTTTTTTTTCCATCTGGCTAACTTTTTTGCAGACAAGAGCAGGCAGGATTGAGATCACGACCCCCCTGAGCTGTACAAGTAGGCGCTGAATGTTGTCTCTGAAATCACTGATTCCTGGGCTATATTTCAGTACCTGGTAACTAAAACTGGCTTTGTGGTCAGAAAGCCATTGATGTTTGCTTCAGAGGGAGTAGCTATTGGCAGATGCCCAATAAAAGGCAGAACAATTTTATCATCTGTCAAGGAGACAGGATGGTGGGTTTCAGAACTACTGCCTTGCTTTATAATGTAAATGCCCATGTCTGTTAATTCTATCCTCAATTAGCTGTATCAGGTTGGGTTTGAGGCTGGGTTTTATCTGCAATTGACTATTTGCTCTTATATTTTGGATAGCAATAGATGTAAGGGCAGCTCCTGGAGTCAGTCTTTATTGACTGCCCATGCGGTTCCTGGTTACCCTGACCCATGTCAAGAGACTTTGCCCAGGCAATAGTCAGTCTGTCACAAGAGCTGCTGTGTGAATCTGCTGATCACACAGATACCCCACAGCAGCTTCCTTTGCTCTCAAGGGAGCTGAAAAGAGAGAAGAAACAAACAGGCCTCTTCTACTTCCTTTTTTGCTGCTCTTTTCTCAGGCCACCCAGATCTGTTCTCACTGTGAAGCAGAGCCTGGTGTTATTTCTGCTGAGATTTTGTGTCTGGTCAGATGTGCACTGAGACCCCTGCTCAGGAAAGAGCACATGCAGAAGGACACATTCGTGGTCTGTTTTCTCCTTTGATGTTAGTGATTTCAGCAGAGTTGAGCCTGATCCATGTGTAGGATAAGGAGACTCCAGCCTTTCCACCTTGGCAGCTAAAGGGGAATACCTCTTAGTACGAATGGCTCCCTGCCCCAGGTCATACCGAGTGCTGAGATTGAGGTGTGGTGTTTCTCACCCGGTGTGTCACTACTATTTAAACCCATGGAGTGATGCAACCTCTTGCAACGTTCAGGTCTTAGAAGATATTATCAGGACAAACTAAAATCTTACAACTCAGGCCCCAACAGGCAGGTAGCAATCCCGATCATCTTCTGCAATGCGGGTAATTGTGTGCCTGCAAACACACCCTGCTAATGACTGCGTAGTCTCTAAAACTTCAACTTTAACAAATACTTCCAAATTGACCCTGAAATGTCTCTGAGCCCAATTAAAAATGACCTTGGGTCTCTGATTCATGAACTGTTCAGAGCTGGGAGTGGATCCACCTACAGATTTCAGTGGAAAAACGTCAGGTCTCCCAAGATCCAAGCCAGCAATATTCGTAACTGTCACAAGAAGTGGTGTTGGCTCTTTGTTTCTTCCCCTTGGTGTTTTTACCCTACTTTTGTGAGTCTCATTGAACCTGTTAGGAGGATCCTAATCCCAAGTAAATCCCAGGAAGAGAGCAGTAACTGGAGTGCTGTTTGCAGCGAATGGAGTGAGCTCTTGCATTGCCTGGGAACTGATGGACTGGATGATCTTTAAGGTCCCTTCCAACCCAAACCCTTCTGTGACTGTGATTGTGTGAGCAGCATTGCTTAGCACAGCATCTGGCGCAGCTGTCTCGCTCATGTATGGAGCTGAACTGCTGTATAGGTCAGGACATGTTTGGCCAGGCCTGTGACTGTCTTCCGGACATTCACCAGCCCTGGCTCCATCTATCCCTGCATTACCACATTCCTTTCTCTTTTTATGCTAAGATCTTCCTGTGTCTGTCTGTCTCTCCCTAGTCTCAGACCTCTGGATCTGTTTGTCTATTCCAGACATCACTACAGTATGTGCCTTATTCCCACATATGAATTATTCTGATAATTCCTTGTCAGAAACTTCTGTTTTCCTTCTCCCTCCCCACATGTCATCATGCTTCCTTCCCTGCTTTCCTTTATCAATCCAGTTCTCCTTTTCCCTTCCTCTCTGTGATCTGAGCACATTACTCCCGTTAAAGCTAATGGCTTTTACCTGCTAATGGGAGAACTGTTCTCTTCTGTCCTTTGCTCTTTGGCAGCCCCTGAACTTTGCTATTTCCTTTGATGTTTGCTAAGTCTGGAAAGTCCTTTGGCAAGCACCCGAGCAGCCCGGGACTCCAGCCTCCATTGTGCATTTGAGTGGATAGTCATAGGTCCTCTTTTGATCCCAACACCTACACGCTTTCCCAGTGAAGTCCTGTAAGCCTTGCAGAGTTTTTACTAAGCATCTAGCTCCAAAGGGAATTTTATGAGCCCTATTATGGGTATGAAGCAGCTTTTATTAGGGAGGAATGTGTCAGGGGAAGCTCTGCAGTTAAGATTTCCCAGCTGCCTGATGTTGCTGCAGGAATGCACGCTGCAGGAATGCACACTGCATCCTATTTTCAATGGACATAAGATACAGCTCCCATTACCCAGCCTAACTTTAGTCCATGCTTAATGGGGAAGGCTGTGTTAAACCACCATCAATCTGTACCCAGCATCACAAGTTCCTGCTTTTGTGACCGCCCCCTCTGTAACAGGGCACTATTCTGTTTTCATCAGAGCTTTCCATCAGTTTGTAAGTGGTACATCAGGCTGGCAGACACATAATAAAACTCACTGTAAGCAGTCCTGGCCACGTGGCAGCTTTGGCACGGGTTTTCAAACGGCTTCTTCTTGTGCCAAAGAATCAGACAGCTTGGAGGGGGTGTCTGAAGCCTGGGCTATGGGGCAAAGAGGCACTGTGATTACCACCCTAGGAGGACAAGGCATTCCAGGCTCTGCTTTATGAACCACTGTAGGAAGCAGGCAAGTTTTAACATGTCATTTTACAGCAAGGCCAGTAAATAAAGTCCAGTGGGTAAGAACTAGCCCAACATGTGGAGGATGCAAGCTCCGTCTGTGAGTCTGCCAGTAAACTGCTGCATGATGTTGGCTTTACCCTTCCATGCTGTGTTTTGGCTTGCTTAATAACATCTTCAAGACAGTTGTGATTTCCTAGTATAGAATCATAGAATGGTTTGGGTTCAAAAGGACCTTCAGCTCATCCAGTTCCACCCCCCCTGCCATGGGCAGGGGCACCTCACACTAAACCATGGCACCCAAGGCTCTGTCCAGCCTGGCCTTGAGCACCACCAGGGATGGAGCATTCACAACCTCCCTGTTCAATCCATTCCAGTGCCTCACCACCCTAACAGGAAAGAACTTCTTCCTTATATCCAATCTAAACTTCCCCTGTTTAAGTTTTAACCCATTACCCCTTGTCCTGTCACTGCAGTCCCTAATGAAGAGTCCCTCCCCAGCATCCTTATAGGCCCCCTTCAGATACATATGTATGTGTGTCTGCCAGGCTGAGCACAGGACTTGTTGGAGCAGACTATAGTTGTGCATCCATCAACCCTCTACAATAAGAGGACCATGTAAGCTAAGAAACCAAATGAGAGCTAAAGCTGGGAAGGTGGATGCTCAGCCTGTCTTTTAATACTCCTTTATTCTCTGCAACTTCCAGTTTATTTGAATAATTTTGATGACAAATTGCTATCCAGCATATTTATTTTTAGAGGAAAAACATGTGATCCTTCTGCTTCCCTTCTCTGTGCATCTTAGGAAAGCTGAACAAGTTTTGCATGCATTCTTGAAGTAGAAGCCCTGGTGGGCGCAGCGTGCACTGGTGCTGGGTGATGGAAACTAGCTGGTGTTACCTCCAGAAACAGCAAAGCAGGCAGGTGCTGCATGATCATCATGTACTGTTTGTGTGGCTTCTGATCACAGCCTTCAACAAAAGGAAGGGAAAAAGCAGCTCCATTTCCTAACTGCATTTGAATTCAGAAGGCAGCAAAAGGGTTTAGTTTGAAAAAAGCAAGAGGCCAGATTTAACAATGCTTTAACAATGCTTCTGCATGTGCAAATATGTTTCTGTGTTGATTTTTTGTTTATCTTTTTATGTGATCTATTTTAATGGAGTTAGGGCTTCCTTTATTTACATATATTCTAACGTCCCTACTGAGTAAACAAGAGATGCCCAGCTAAGCAAATAAGCCTGAGGGTGATGGGAGAGGGAGAGAGAAAGGAGAAGAATAGGGAGAGGGAGAGGAACAGAGAGGTGGCAATAGGCAAAGGGTAAACAGACAAGCACTAATTAAGGCCTTCATCACAAGCAGGGAGATGTGCGAGGCTGACAGTCAGTCAAGCAGATAAGGGGAGATGAGTTAAAATCTAGCCCCAGGTTTTGAAGGCCCCGGGGCCCTGGCAGACAAGAGCACAGTGAACCAACAGGAAGCCACTGAAAGGTCATTTGCATGAAATGATGTTCAGGATCTTTTGCTTTTGTTGTTGCCCTGATGGCTTTAACCCCTTCCTGGCCCAGGAAGCACACAAAAGCTGAGACATTTGCAGCCAGGCTCTGTACACGGCTTGGAGGCTTCTTTTGGTGGCCTTTAAGGGGGCAGTTCTCCCTCTGGGTGGAGGGAGAGAGCTTGAATCTCCCACGGAAAATAAGGGCAGCTGAAATTCCTTGGCAAGTGATGTGATCACTCTCTAGCAGGGCATAAGATGGAGAAACCATCA